TATGCTATAGGGACATTAAGTCATCACCTAAAATAGGGACATAAAAGTAATCATAATCTATTATCTATGATAACACTCAAAAAAATCGATTTGTGTATCTTTATACGGGAACCTCGTTTATATCATTATTACTATTATGAGTGCAATTATCAAATAATAGAATAAGTTTTCATTGCAATTAGTGATGGTATCCGTTATGTCAATTTCCTCTTTCACTCGTAAATCTATCATCCGTATGGATAGATTTACCAAGTTAACCCCAAGGTAGAGTAAAAACAGCCCTAATATCTCATTCCAATTATGAAGTCAACTATCGACTACTAGATAGTATCAAGGGATAATCCTTCCCTATAGTTAAATTAGAAGGGTGATATGGAACATATCCCCTATTGAGGGATGTATCGGAATAATAAAAGGTTATTCTACTTTGGGGTCTTTTGATAGTAATAAGTTTAGTGCTTCATAATTGGCTAATCATTAACCGACGGTGAGATATTCTAATATCCATATGATGATACAACCCTATTAGGATTTTTCCCTTGCACTATTATTAACATTCCTAAGGAGATGATCTAATTTAAGCAATGGAATGTATCATCTCACTTATTAGAGCCTCTTTGGGAATGTATTATCTCTATAAAGCATAATAATATTGTAACGCCCCTAACTCACTTACTATTTCTAAATAGGAGCGACTAGGTTCGTTACATTATTAAGCCTAAAATCTCGGCTAGTTCCCTATACTACATAATTGAAATTACATAAAATATTAAGCAATGAAATATGTACAATAAAATTTATGTGGTATTAATAATTCAATCACGGGGATTACAAAATGTCTACGATTCGACTACCCATTATTGGGAGAACGAGTATCACTTATCTATAACCCTTCAAAAGATTCCTATAATTTTGGGTAGCGCATGAGCCCATTTAGTGAGAATTGACGACTTCCTTGATAGAACCATCTTTATCTCTACTTGTTACACCATAGAAATAACAACAACAATATGAGCCAAAGCTCGGTAAGTAGAGTGATACACATGATATGCAATGATTTCTTACTACCCTAAATTCATCCATTAATTTTAGTTCGGGTACCCTAGGTATTATCAAGTCCACTCCATTTCCATCTCTCGATGATTGCCTTATCACCTACTACTAACAACAGAATTATCCATCGCCTAACGATGTAATTAAGTAATAGAGCATGCACATAGCTTCATTGCTAATACCCATTTAATCAAGTTTCGGTGACCAAACCTTATTGATTCTCAACCATCTTACTTTTCAATCTACTCACAAATGCATGTGATGCACACTAATGTTTCATTTGCCAAATCCGTCAAGTTATGGGTACCAAACCCTACATTCTCAAACCATTCTTGAAATTCAACCCACATATAGAAACACCTATATGTCTCATATACCTTACATAAATATTTATTTAAGGCAATCAATTACCACCAAATATAATTTAATCAATCAATATAATTCACTCTTTTAATAAGTATCTTCTCTTCATATGATTAATAAGTAATACCATTGATTTCATCCTATAATTTTGATACCACTTAGCTTATATACACATCAATCATAGGGACCAATTGACTAAACATTTAAGGTGTAATTTCTTACTCTAACCCGAATTTGGCCTTAATTGCCGAATTTAGATTTTAACTAATTTGAGCCATTTTCTTCAATTTTCTTGAAATTTTACCTTCATACACTTCAAATTATACTTGCTCAAGTACAATTAAACCAACATTTCTAGATTTGGATGAGTGAAACTCAAAGCCTAAAAATCAAAGTTTAGGCCGAATATACCCTAAGGATTTGCGCGGATTTTCCTTCAATTAAAGTAAAGTTTTTCATTCCTAAACACTAATTCATACTTAATTAAGTCATAATTAAGCTCTAGAACATTAATAACATCAAAGCATCAAAATCCCCAATTTAAGCAATTAGGCCAAATAGTACCCTTTAAGGAACCCTAGGAACCCATCATCCATCATCTACCATTTCGGATTTATTCCTCCCATATCTATATCAATAATTATTCACTACAAATAATTTCGATCCAAGCCCATGAATTTACTAACCTAACCCAACAACAAATATTTAGGCATAAAACAAAGCTTTATAAACTTTAATGAGTAGGCATATCAATAAATCATCAAATACCCAAGGTAAACCAATAAAATCATATCAAGCTATCAAAACTCGCAATAGCAACATAAGCAACCCATAAAAGCATAATCATCAACTCAAGGAATGCACATAAATCAAACACTTAAAAATTCGAATTTATGATGTAAAATAAATCCCTACTTACTTAATTCAAGTTTCCTAGAAAATCTCTTAGTCTTTTTCTTCTCCTTTCCTTCTTTCTTTCTTTCTTTTTTCTTCTTCCGTTTTCCCTCTTCTTGTTCGACTTTCTTTTTCTTTGTGTTCTAAAATCTTTTAAAAGTGGCCGACCATTCCTTAGCTTTCTCTTATATATATTCATCTTTTCATCCCTTATTAATGAACTTAACAAGTGTCCTAAGCTAAACTTGTGAGGTGTAAAGTGGTAGAAGGAATTAAAAGCTAAGGTGGCGGATTTTAATTAAAGGCATGAGGTGTAAAGTAGTAGAAGAGTTTAGGTGGTACGTTTTATGCAAAGGATAGGTGATGTGAGTAAAAATTAATCCTAGGGGTATTTTGGTCTAAGAATTTTGGCACCCTCATAACGTTTAAATGATTTTTTTGTTTTTTTTGCATGGCATCTTCTAGAAACGTGCTAGGGAAAAATAAATTGACAACTAACTAAGTTACCCAAAACTTTATTCCCATAAATTATCACATGAACACTAAATATATTAAATCTACAAAGATATTAATATGTTATATGAATTACACCCATATTTAGTGTGTGTGTGTGTGTGTGTGTGTGTGTATGGTTGAGAATTTTGACGGGAGTTACAAATATAATAGGTTCCCTCTAACAAAATAAATAGTATTATGAATAACCAACCTAAGCCATGGTAAAAACCTCTCTAAGAAGGCTAGTTATACTATCAATTGACCAATAGAAAGGATTGGGATCCAACAAGGCAATTATACCCTAGGTCTATTAACCATTGGAACTTTATAAATAGTAACAACAACCCAATAGCTATGGGTTATATTGATAATTGGGGTACGCCCAATGGGTATATTGTTCATAAGGTCCTTAGTTATATGAACTCATATTGTATATAAAGGTCATTAGGTTATATTTTTATTAGCTAGATAATTAGATATAGAGTCCTTATGTTAACTAATAACAATTATCAATACGAGGTCCATAATATAGTGATGGTGATATTTACATCAAATGATTAAGGAGTAACATTAATAACGAAGTAATGGGTATGATTATCACTCATGCAATGGCGATAAAAATTATCACTTATTGGCAGAGGAATATTAATGGTGTCCAATTAATTGTTTTACCATAAAACATATTGACGAGCACTAGCCTACGGCCCATGTGATCTTTTCTTGGCCTAGTCGATATTATTAATAGTTGATGATTCCTATATTCCTTCTATGAGATATCGGTTTCCCATATCATTCAGTAGTTAGTAGGATTGATATACCATATTCTCAAATATTTATCCCCCCTCTCATATGATTTGCCTTACAATCCAAAAAAGAGGGTTGAATATTAATTACTAAAGAATATCTCATAACCACCTAATTTTAAGCGCACTAACTTAAAATATCCTAATAGAAACATACTATAATTAACTGGTGTTACTCATGATTATCTAACCCCAGAGGTTTTATAGCTAATTTGAATTTCTTAGATGGAAAAATCTATCTAATAATTGGACCATCCCTTATAAACCCTATATTACCAACAATAGTCCCATAAGTTAGGGAGGGAATATATTTTACCTAATTCGCCTTTATGGTGTATATGCATGGGAGATAACTATTGCAATTATTTAAGTCCACCTATTCACTCTCCCTTACCATATATTAATAATATGCCAAGATAATCTTACCACATTATAAGAGATGTTCATCCAAAATATTAGGGTATCATTAACAACATAAAAGTCAATATAATATGCCATATTATAAATTAACCTATTTGCTCTACAAACTTATATTCTATATAGAAGAGTGAGGTGACCTTATTAATAAGTACCTAATTATATCTAAACTGTATTGCTAATGATATAAGTGGGTATAATGAGTATTTAACATTTTCCTAGTGTACTCTCCCTAATAAGATTAACATGATATAGGGGGTATGTATATATCATTAGAATATATTTTTGGTCCTAATTTAATAGGATGTTTAATAGTCAAGCGTAATATAAAGGACATAAAGGACATAAACGTTAGTATAGAGAGCTTAATTATGGAATTAAATTCAATAATCTAGCCTTCTCTCTAATAACCTTGTTATTCCATTATCACACATTAGTTATTATTATAACTCATAAGTGAAATGAGGGTTTATAAGATGAATTTATGGTGCACGAACGAAAACTATACAAAGATGTTCATCAATTTTCACTTTGGAGTGCTATATCATAATATATCTACTGTATATATGGCTTTAACTATAATTAGCCATATCCTCCCAATAGGGTTAATTATATAGATATTCCATAATGGAGTTTGGGTTCGACCAATCTACCTAACCAATTGTCATCAGTTTTTAGATGCTTCAATAAACCTATTCAAGCTACAAGGGTTATTACACATTGGAGCATCTTTTTAAGGAGGGGTGTTTAGGATGTTACCCACCCTCTATCAATGAATGAGTAAAAATATGGATTAACTTCCTTGTGAAGCCATTTAAGAAATACATATCTTTACGAATAGCTACTAAAACAGGGAAAATTTCACAATGTTCCTAGACCATATACATTAGCATATGGATATATTAACTTAATAGATTGAGTTCCTTTAATAGCCGTAGACCATTATTTTTCTATCTAATAATATACAACATTAACCTCTCTATCATTCTCTCCAATTAGGAAAATTTAGATAAGAGTAATTCGTCGGTTAGAGGTATATATCCATGTATCCCAAGGATAAAATTATTTAATATCTTTGAATAGCAATTATCAATTGATACATAAGGGTGGGTAATGTTGGGCAATATGGCAACCAAAATATAAATGATATACTAACTATGAATGTTCAATATTAATTAACAACGGTTCATTAACATTTGATAATATTTTAGGTTGGGTTATTGGGCTATATAAACATGGAATCAATTAAATTAATCCTTATTCTGGTCATCATGAGATGTTTATTAGTTAGGTACCCATTATATGATATAGTTATGCACTAGAAATTAACAAATATGTTTATTAGTTTGTTACCTATTTCATAGTTTGGGGATTATGATATGTGAACCTTCGATTAGAGTGATATTGTGGATATGAGGCAATAAATTTATCCTTAATAATTTTTCATATATCGTAATTGGTAAGCCATAATTGATGACTAATATTACTCATTTATGGGGTGTATTATGATATAGCTCGTGGTACTAGAAATTAACGGACATGTTTATTAGTTTGTTACCTATTTGATAGTTAGGGGATTATGATATGTGAACCTTCGATTAGAGTGATATTGTGGATATGAGGCAATAAATTTGTCCACGATAATCCGGCATATATCACAATTGGTAAGCCATAATTGATGACTAATATTACTCATTTATGGGGTGTATTATGATATTGCTCGTGGTACTAGAAATTAACGGACATGTTTATTAGTTTGTTACCTATTTGATAGTTAGGGGATATGATATGTGAACCTTCGATTAGAGTGATATTGTGGATATGAGGCAATAAATTTATCCCTAATAATATGGCATATATCGCAATTGGTAAGCCATAATTCATGGCTAATATTACTCATTTATGGGGTTTATTATGTCACCGGTGTATTTTTAACATCAACCTATCTAATGGAAAACACGGATATGATTGTACTAAAGCCGTAACATTATGGATAATGATTTAGAGGAGGCCTACACATTAGTGGAGTAGTTAATGATTTTCTTAAATACTATAAACCATTATTTTGCTTATACTCATTGAATAGATTGGAGAATAGGTACCCTCCCTCATTACTAGATGTATATTGTTCGGGCTAAATATGAACAAAAATCATATTTCCCTATCTACCATAACCGTAGTTAAATAAGGGAGGGTACCACAAATATATTATTCTCCTTATACATTATAGTGACTTCTTTGTTTTTCATATTAGTTGCCTATTAATTGGTTATAACATGTTAATTACTTCGACACGTATATTTTAAATCAAGTCATACCACAAAAGTTATCATCCTATTATCCATATGATAATTTTCTAAGTGAATAAAGAGTATAATATAACTAATATTTACCATCCCTAAATCATAAGATTAATGTTTATTAAGTTATTTAAAGGTTAAAATTTCATGAGGACCATCGAAAGGTCATTTTAATACAGTATTATCATATTAGTTTATGATAGAATATTTTCCTGAAATTTGATGGCGTGATAATTAGTTAGGTTCACTATCCCTTACATTGATTAGTTAATACATGCACCTTCTATAATACCATTATCTAATATACATAAAAATCAAAAGGGATGTTTATGTATGGATTAATTATATTGATGATATAAACATTAAGATAGCCTTGACAAGAGCGAGGGACAAGAGTAGGGGATAAGAGAGAATATTATATATTTTTATATAAACCTTATCAACCGTCACTCATGAAACATATAGGAGAGAGAGAGGGGTAATTACTATATTTTAACATAGATGTGGGGTGCTTTGAATGTCCAATATCATGGATGATATTACCATCATTTAAGTGGCCATCAATTGGTCTACTATCAAATAGCCCATCTCCAAGGATAATATTAATGACCTTCATGAAAATAACAACCTAATATACATCCCTTTTGATGTTTATGTATATTAGATAATGGTATTATACTTATTTAAAGGAAAACTATCTTGAACCCTAAAACTAGTAATTATAGGATATACTCTAATTAAGAAAAGACCATAATAAGAGTAGTCCTGAATTCATAAGGTCCCTATTTAAGAGGGTTATGATAACACTTTCAAATATAATTACCACCGTATCTATATCATATGCTCCATATCTTATAGCCCTAATTATAACCTACTATAATAATGAAATCAAAAGTATTAGTTTATAAGGGAAATAAATATCGAGTCAATAGAAATTCACATGGTGAGGCTATATCTAATAATAGAGAACCCAATCTCCCCCTCATGGCATGGACCCATTAATATCTTAAGAATAGAGAAATTAAAACGGTAATATGAATTCATCCGCTAAAGAGGCCATCATCGAACACCTTAATCACTAGAATATTGGCATAATCTATACTAATCATGTTTACCATAATAGGCCATCATAGGTTAAGCATCAGGATATTCTTTAGCGGATAAGGGATACCTTATTAAATGCTGATTAACCCAATATCTCTACTAATTTCCTATTTATGTGGAGTATAACGTAAGATGATAAACTAAATTCAATGAATATTACTATTTTTGCAACATTAGAGATATGGCCGACTAATCTTTCCTTCCTATATAGTATACGATCATGAAATAATGTAGATTTCCCTTATTTGACTATGCCAATTAACTAACCTTAATTAGCCTATGTATGGCTATGGCTGTGACAACCACTATTATCCCATATCATCTAATCTACTCGAATTAACTATATCACTAGCAAGTAATAGTACTGATAGCCTACTTATCTTGGGATTATATGTAGATCACAAAATGAGAGGATATGTCTTAATACTATGGATGATTGACATACTTGTCTAATATAATTATATATTTAGCATCAACTAATGGGTATAATGCACATATCATAAGATATTTAGGGAGATCTATGTTAGACAAGTATGCCAATCGTCCAGGTTGATGATAATTCCATCCAAGTGGACTAAACTATAAGGAGGAAGAAGTTAATAGGGCATCCCTTTTGTTAGACAAAGAGTAGGGAATTATATCTACCATATGATTTTAGATATCATTTTCAATAGGAGATATGAGTAGTCCACTTATGATTTATACCTATTATGGTAAACATGATTAATTATTGTAATTTGTACTTCATTTAGATAACCTCATAAAATGGTGATCCTTATAAGTATGGAATAGTAATCTATTGTCGGGATAATGAACTCGGTAAAGTTATCAATTAAAAAACATGGTTCCTATTCAACAATATGACCTAGGATTGATATAAGTAAATGGAAAAAAATGAGAGGGATTATAATATGATAATCCCAATTGGTTAATCCATCTCTATCCCTCTTAAAAACTCCAATGAATCCTAGATATATCATCATACAAATAATCCTAGGTAACATTTAATGTATCAATGTTCTAGGAATATATTAATGAGGCGTCAAAAATTAGTTCATTGCTCTTAATTGGACTAGTAATCGATGGATTTTGATAGATTGCTAACAATAAAGGACCCATCATTATATTTTGTAATTTCATCTAGTAGATATGATTTGGTAAATATTTACATTGATATAGCCCATTAAACCTTTAACATTAGATAATCCATAATTCATATGGTCCCTGTTTAACGAGAATACAACTATTGAGTTTTCAGCAAATTACATTACCACAAGAGTTTATGGAGACCTTAGAGGCATAACCATCATAAGGTTATATAAATCGATTATATATAGGAATTCACTCAATAATATGGAATTCTCACCGGGGTGAGTTTATGCACACTCTATATAAATAGAGTAATTACGTTATATTCAATTACTTAAAAAATGATATTTTAGTCATTTTGTAATGGGTTATTTAGGGTACGCAAATATGACCTAACTCATATAATTCTATAGTATCATTTATAATATACACTTCAAAATGAAATAGCCACTACTTAAATATATGGTATTCCCTTGAAGGTAAACATATATTACTCGGATTGGAAATAATTTTAATGATATAGAGGGTTAGTTGTTCATATGTTAGAATCAATAAACACCTAAAAAGGATATACTAGGCTATGATAGGTAATACTATTAGCCCTAAACGTGATTATTAGCCCTTATATTAATCATTTCCAGTATGACAATGGTTAAATTCTTGTGATTAATGAACTCTGTCCACCATAGGGAGTAGCCCCTCCGATATTTATTAACTAATACCGATTATACTCATAAAGTGAATAACTATGGGTACCACATGTGATGTTTATGTATATTAGATAATGGTATTAGTTATTTTCCATATAATCTCCATTCTAAGCCTATGGTCATAATTATAACAATGTGATAACCATCTATTAGAAGTACTATAATAGACTATCTATTATAGTTGGAATATTCTATAATACTATAGGTTGATCAAACTATTATATTTTATCTATACAATTTAGGGTGAATAATATCAATGGGGATAAGTCTAAATTTGATCATCTATAGAATATTATATGTGATTAGGCTCCTTAATCTTAGTAGGGGACCATATAAGCCATTGGTAATAGGCTGAGTTATTTGGTAGTTCAATAGGATGAATATACGATAATAATGCATTAATATTATAATAATATCGATATAGAATGTACTCCAATATGAGGATTATTTATACTATGATATTGAACAAGTACCAAATATTAAGCTCAAAATATTGATAGGGCCATACACAAGCTACGGTGATATTGACTCGATTAGCCTATTAATTTACATTCACTCTCAACCTAGTTTCTAGACCTATAATTGCCCATGTGGTTATACTCCATAAGTATTTTGACCACGATTTGAGAGATCAGTTATTTTAATTAGAACAATTAGGTCTATATAATATATGATGTGGTAAACATTCTAAGTAATATAGGTCTATATAATAATTAGTTGGTCGACTATTTTAATTAAAACAATCAGCCACCCTTCTATACAGTTTTAAAATAGAAACCTTTGTTGTTATATATAATGAATAATGATATAGGAAGTTCTATATAATATAGCCATCATATATTATATAGACCTATATTACTTAGAATGTTAACCACATCATAATATATAGACCTAATTGTTCTACTTAAAATAGCTGACCATACCTAACCATGTAGTCTATTACCTTAGGATAAGTCGTCCCTAATCACTAGAATATCTTAGGCTATCTTTTATCATTATAATGTTTTCTATATTTAAAGTTAGTAAATGAGAGAACCTAATGATATGTTAACCCAAATATAATGAGAGAACAATGCAAATCTCATGGAACCTTATCAAATTAAGGTTAGTTAATTTGATAATAATTAACTAAATGAGTAGGCGAGTTAATTATAGGGAATAACTATCTATAAATAAGATGTTAGAGAATATCCTATTTACTAGGGAGGTGAACTATATATAGAAATAATTATGATGGGTCAGCAATTAAAATACCATTGGAGACCACTTATGGTCAATGATTATTATGCTTATGCCTAATATCTCCCCTATACATGGGTTAGCAATCTTTCATAGTCACCATTTATGTATAGTATTAATTATCTATTATAGTTTAATGTATCATCATCCATCCCATGATAAGATTATAGTAAAAAAGACATATAATGTACCTTCATAATTATATTAGTATTATGGTGGGATTGTTTATCAAAGATTGTCTTACTCATTAATCCCAAAAAAATGTTTATTAACTAAATGATAGAGTATAATGTCCCTCCATCTATATGAATGGTTGTTATGATCCTTAGGGGCCAACATATACATGTAGTCATATAGCACCATGGAGTATATCAAACATTTTCGTATAGGGTTGATTAATATTTTTTTTGTTTTCACTTGGTTACTCTATCAGATTACCTAACCTATATCAAGATGTAGGGTTAGTTGATAATGTAAGGAGATGTTCCACAATATTATAGTAATAAATTATAAATAGTATCCTTGAAATGGATTATTGAATCACTCTCTTCTTCCACCTATTTATTAAGATACACAGTTTTACAAAATGTCTTTATCACCATGATTGATAATGTTAACTCAAGTAAATATTGAGATATAGTCTACATAATATTAGTTATTATATTGAGAGAAAATAGATAATATGCTATGAACTGCCATAGATCTTATTTTCAAAAGACTTAATAATGGGCGTAAGTATAAACTATACCTATATTAGCCACTCACCATCGGAGTGATAGTCACTTGGTAGTCTATCTCAAATGTAAGGCCTAATAAACTAGTGTCCAATAGGATATAGAAGAAGTAATATTGTGGAATACATTACCGACCCAATCCATAGTAGGCTATAGTGTAAGTCGAGTGGATATGAGCATCCTATTATAAAATTGCTCGTTAACTATTAAAAATAGGGTATAATTACCCTATCATATTTAATGTATTAGGTCACCAATTAATCCTCAATAGGGCTGATTCCCTATTGTAGTACCCCTAATATATTGGGCCATCAAATATTACCATCAAATATTATGGCCTATAATTGGTGACTCTTATGAACATACTTAGTCATCCCTAATTATTTTAAATACATAGATCATCCCAAGGGATATCTAGGAGGTGTTAGTATTAATGGGACCAATATTATAATTGGTTAAACCATCTTATTTCCATTGCCATTATGACTACATGTATTATCAAAATTATATAGACAAGGGATATAATATTATCCCTATTCAAATAATCAGCACCGGGGTAAGACAAATACCGTAAGATGATTAGGATATTTGATAATACATAGTTGATGCATACTAATGATAGTTTGGAAATAGTGAGGTTGTTTATCCTAACCCTATATCCCTCTCTACCTCCCTCCTTTCTATTCCCTCCTATTCGGTATGGACTATAATACTTATAAGAATACATCCCCATTAATTTATTAAGTGGGCATGATATATCCATTCTCTAGTATATTAAGTGGGCATGTCCCCATTATAACTGGTAATATATTTACCATCTCATTAGATCAAATAATTGATCTATTATTTAGGTCCATTGGCAACACGAATAAAATTGAATGCTAACATTGATGTGTTTCCCCTATTGAGAGATATCATAAGATTGTTCAATAATAGGATCAATCCTTAAATAATAAATAATAGAGCCTATTGATGTATGTTGGTGTGAGTGGTCAAAATAGTTGGCAAATATTCCTTATTATGTGACCGTTAATTAGGTGAGGGCTATATCAATGTAGGATTGATATAAGTATATGGAAAACAATGAGAGCGATTACAATATGATAATCCCAATTGGCTATTCCATCTCTATCCCTCTTAAAAACTCCAATGAATCTTAGATATCCTAGATCATTGTACAAATAATCCTAGGTAACGTTTAATGTATCAATGTTCTAGGAATATATTAATGAGGCATCAAAAATTGGTTCATTGCTATTAATTGGACTCCTCAATAATTATCCCCCAAGATAAATGGCCCTAACGAGGATATATTAGTCATGGCTAAACAAGATTATGATACATGTAACACCGTAGAAATACTATAAACCCTTAATTTCAGTCCGATATTTTGCCTTCATGGTATGCTCTTAATGTAGCCTCTAAGTATTTCTATTTAATATTAACTTATTATAGCCCAACTCGTATGCTATAGATAACACATCGGAGTATATGCTAAATATTAAATAAACTAATTAGCCTATACGATAGTGTAAAATTGCCCAAATTATAATACATTATAATTATCCGATAATAGGGTAATTATGGGATATATGAGTCCATTAGGTAAATATCTCGCTAAATAAGGGAATAACCCTCAACGACATGGGTTTAATAAATTCTTATGATTTTAATTAATACTCCAATATACCAAATTTATTTTAGCCAAGTGAACTCATTTAGCGGATATTTACCCCGTGTCGTTGAGCTTGGAACATAGTGTATAATACTATTGACCATGGGTACGAAATTATAGTAGAAGGTACTCATTGTATAAGTAAGAAACTCAGTTTGGTCTATAATAGTAAGAGGTATTCGCATATCATAATCCCCTAACTATCAATATGAAAGCCTATATTGGTATACCGTTAGTAATAAGAATGTTCAACTTATATCATAATTTATTATGGGTGAATGTAGAGGTACTATAATACAATTATGGGCAATTGGGCCATCTTATGGGTCATTACCATCTAGAAAGGGCATCTCTTATTATGCCAATTGTATTCCATGTATAAATAATTATAGTGTTCCTTCGTAGTGGGTATACTAAAATATGAACCATCGAGTTGTGTTATGGAAAACAATCATAGAAATACAAGGATTCCTAAATAGTTGAGAATCATTAGTACCTTGTTGATATATAGACAAGTAATCTAGGTAGAAAGGGGTGACCTAGGGTTATGATCGTCCATAGCCCTTCATGTTACTCACCCTTAAATAGTTTAATTAATTGTTAAACCAATATGAGGTTTATCTCATAACCTAGAATAAAATCCACGTTGTGAGTTGGGTACTTGGTTAATAGATAATCATCACAAAGGATGTTATTAATATTAATCCCAATAATATTTTTACCGACTCAGCCATGTTGATTGATTAATAATAATATAAAAAAGAAATAGGTTAATGCCTATTTAATATGATCGTGTGGGTATCTTAGCCTAACAAAGTCCAATAATATATTAGGGGGTAGACAAGGGAGATTACCCCCACGACGTGTGGGATTTCCCATACTTATATCATGGGTATCTATTTATGAGTGCTTATATTCATGAATTGTGAGGTTCACTCCAAGTTAGCCTATATTAATAGGCCATCATCAAATAGGAATTCATGTCTTCCCTATAACATTGTACGCAATCATCTTTTTAGTCATTGTTACGTATAAAACTCCAATGAATCAATTAGACTAGTACATAATCTTTTATAGATATACGCAAGTATACCTCATATATAGTTATGAAGTATACTTGTGTATGGATATAAAAGAGTATTATTCTTTTAATACTCCTGAATAACAAAGATGATTACGTACTAGTCTTATGGCCTCATATCGCTTAGATTACTTCACTCCATCATAATTGAAGTTTTTTTTTTTTTTTTTTAGTGAGAGTACCCTATAAATGGGCTAGACATTTAAGGGTAATGGTAATCATTTCCAATATGATAATCCCCTATGTCTTATAATCTAAGTATATCCTAGATAAATATTATCTCCATATGTACCATTATGCACATGGTATAATGAACCTACTATAATAAGAGTACACGATAAGTAATGTTGATTGTTCGAGTATATTATTCAGCTAGCTTTCCCTACACAACAATTTAGTGGTAGATATTATGCCCAATTCTCATTAATCCAGTCTTAAATCATGTCAATATGGATGAAATCCCTCCTTGTATTATTCAATTGTCCAAAATGGTAATATTTAAACTTTATCGTTATTTCTCTCTAAATTACTATTAAGTATTCCCTCTTCAATTAACTCAAATAACCATTAACAATTGTAACATATCAGTCCGTAGTGGAGGCACCTTGACTATAGGGGTTAATCACCTTAACCTATACCCGACTAGTGCTAATTAATCTTTATCATAAGCAAAATGGTCATATCACAACCACTTTTATCCCAAGAATCTAATTGGGTAAGTCAGTAGGGATGGAGATCATAGTAACTAGGGTTAAAGAACATGGTGTTAACTTAATGAGAGGTATATAATCGGATAGAAATTGGTAATCCCAATTTGATAATTCCTATAGAGAAATTACCATTTCTATTAACTCCCTTTGATATAATTCTGATTATATATCTCTCTAATAATGTATATCCTTATCATAGTTCCAGATTATATGGTCTATATTAATAGGCTATTTAGTACTAATACCTTATCTAACGGAAATGCTCAACCGGATTTAAGGGATATACTCTTAAATATTGGAGGGATAAAAAGATTATATAAAAGTATATTTGTATATCCTATTAATTGACAATGTTCATTATATTAGATTATATTCGGGAAAAGGTTATACGCTAATTGGGTAATATCCTAAGCAAAGTCATAACAAAGTCATAACAAGGACCATTTTTTTTTATTATACATGACTATAATAATATTATAGAGAGAATTATAGAGAGAATTCACATTACCTACCATAAGAAACATTGAATTATAGACAAATATACTTTTAAATAAGAAGCATTGAATTATAGAGAGAATTCACATTACCTACCATAAGAAACAAGATATGTTGACATGCACACAGAGCGTTATCTCGTCACGAAGGAGAACCATGTAAAGATGTAATATAACCACTAGATCACCACTAATATTGTCTCTTTTTCCCTCTCCATTTTAGACTAAATAGCTTATTAGATATATTGATAGGTTTGCTTGTAAACTAGGGTCATATGTTTCCAATCGTACATGGATTTAGGCACTAATTGGTTCTCTCTATTGAATATACTCCCTCCCTCTCCATGAATTGGCCAAAAGTTCCATAATTTGTTAACCTAATATATTATCCTAGTCCCTATCATAATTTGATAGGTTGTGTGCCAGTATCTCTTGAGTTATTAACAAATAATGTACATTTAGGAACCATGTATCAGTAATTAGAAGGCCATTATCATATACCATAAAGACACGAGCATGTGACTACAAAAGATAATTGAATCATAATATTATGAGCTCATTTTTTAGTCTAAATATTAGTTGCCAATATTGATAAGAGTTTGAGGAAAATAGAGATACGAGCACATCGGTTACATGCTCAAATATCTATGGTATACTAAATATTAAGAGAGAACAATCATGATTATTGGTCCTCATCATTCCCTCGAATCCTCGCTAATTTAACCATTAGCTACTACTTATCAACAATCATAATTCTAATAAAACAAATGGACTAAATATATTACCATATAGGTGATTATAAGCCAATTATGTTAAAGAAGAGATGGAAGGTGACATATAAACTATAGGGCATCACATTTGATAGTAATTGTAAGGATCATGTGAGGGAACATGCCAATCATATATTTATTTGGCTATTCCCCATAACTATTCACGAATTATAACATGGCTTCTTGATATATTGGTTTATTTATCTATATGATAAGGTTATACCATTTTAATAAACCCCTTACCGTTTAGGGCACTTACCTATTATATTTCTAATGTAAACCTGCCCTTCATATTATGAGTATGTGCTTTACTAATTAAGGCAATAAATTGTGTCCAAAAGAAGAGTATATGATAGTATATTATACCCATATTATATTAGGAAAAGAGATTTATAAGATTAATTATCCCCTATTAGTATATAATCTCTCTCACCATTCTACAAGAGTACAATTTATCTCTCTATCTATCTCTCCATCTCCATCTATCTCTCCTTTTATCTGCCCATCCAAATAGACTTCCATAACTATATTTCATGAAGGACGTTAAAAAGAATACCAAGACATATAAACTAGGTATTTTTCTATTGACTACCCTTATTTTTTAATAAACCAATCATTCAGCTTTTCTATTGTTAACTTAATAACAAGTTCACACTTAACATACCTATTTTTATAGACCATCTTCCATTATCATTAAATCTTATTCAATACTTGTAGTTTTATTTGCCTTTTTGATAGGGAAGGTCATACGGTGTCCCCTTATGATAGCTATTAAGTTGGGGAATGAGATTGAGGTGATTATTTAAAAGGATCTATTTATGTCTCTACTAAATATCTATTAAGATTTCTACAACTAAGAGGAATGAGAACCAACATCCGCTACAAAATATAATATGTGCTTAGACGGTATGATCAAAATGGAATCCTCCCTATCTCCATCTCATATTTTACTAGTTTTACCTTTACAATAATCATGATATTCCTTTCCAAAAAGGCTATCCATTCTTATGATATAGTGAATAGCTAAGGGAGATTAAACATATTACGCTAATGGTAGGCTAGTATGATCGATGGTAAGTCTTTTATATCCACTACCTGTTTATAATTTTAGAGGGAAAGTCCCTATTGAATCAAGATGAAGATGATTCATCCCTATTATGAAAAAGATGGCTAACCATGCTTTCATCTAAATAGTTAATATAGCCCTAAAATGTAATGGTTTATAGCTTACTTAGAACATTTAATGTACTTGAGAGAGATGTTGTGATATCTAAGACACCTTTCTATCGGTAGAAATCAATAGATGGTAGTCATATATTGATAGAGAGAGTTAAAACAATATGATCGGCAACCCTAAATGAGTATAAACCAAGCCTATTCATTCTCTCTAGAGAGATATTGTGAATATCACATAGTAGGGTCATATAGTCGATAATCTCCCTTGTTAGTTTCCATGCCATTAATAAAAGGCACCCTCTCCCCCTCCAATGAATATGATATCTATTGTTCAGCAATTCTCATCATCTCACCTAAATCGTTATAATTTAGCTATATTACCCTAATATCCTTTACACTAACCATTTTCTTGTGCCATGCCCCCATATTCTTCTCATCTTTGGGCTATTCTATTCTAAATGGAGAGCTTTTCAATCTATTTGCCCAGATTGCGTTACTTGAAAATAAGTATTCTCAATAATGTAAGTTATCTACTATTTAAATAATATATCATAGCTTAATGATAATTATTAGGCCGTATTATAAATGGTATTTTGCCTAATGAGTTATAAGAGAAAAGGCAATCTTATGATACACTATCATAAAGAAATTCCTCTTTATATGTGTGTGAAGGTTATTGATGAGAATAAAGATAGTCAAGGATGTGTTGATGGAAACTAGGGAGCTAAATGGGCTAGCAAGGTGGCGTTTCCAAGGGAGATCTAAGATGGCGAGTTTGCAAGTCTAAGTTTTGATCCGTTACACATTAAAGATGCTCTAATAATGTGGGCTAGGGCTAAAAAGCTTAAAGAAGCTCTCCATGGGTTGATTCAAGAGTGTTGGGTAGAATGCACTTCCAAAGGCCCAAGAGAGCATTGTAACTCCATCTTTAGAGAAAGGGGGATCTAAGACTTGTTAATCTGATCCAAGTCTAAGATTGGGCTTCTTAAATTATATTGGGCCTATTTTGTTATATCTAACTTAATTATAAACATAACTAATTAATTAAGTTGGATTTGGGCTTCATTTTTAAGTCCTATTATTTTCATATTCTTTCAAGTCCATTAGGGTTTGTTTATGTTCTCCTTAGATGGAAAGGATGTGTAGAGTCCTTTTAGTGTTAGGAGTGGCATGTTTAGCCTATTTAAAGGCTAATTTAGTTTTATTTTGAGGAACACAACAATTTTGAGAGTTAATAAATTTTAGGATTTTCTTCCTTTGTTCTATTGAGAACTAAATTTGACTTATCAAGGATTGCAACCATTGTGGCATCTCTAAACATATCATCCTTCATAGGGTGTGGCGTTCTTCATTCCATTGCAATATAGCTAGGGTTCTTACCTTCTTATAGGCAACGGGTCGGGTTTCGCATATTATAACCTGATTGGGTGCATTCTTAGGGTTGTCTAGTGATAAAGTTGTTTGGATCTCTCGTCTTTATGCATGGAGTTCACATTAATTGGTATAGGCAACAGGTCGAGTTTCACTTGTTATAAACTGATTGGGCACATTGTTGAGCTTGTCTAACGACAAAGGTGTTTGGTTCTCTCATCTTTATATGTGGAGTTCACATCACTTACTATATTTATTTCCCCCTCTCAATTAATCACAAGGTCATGCTCCAAATTTCCCAAGGATAATAATGAATACCATCTACTACTATTTATTAATATTATCACGTTTGGCCTTTAAAAGCTAATATAATAAAGAAGGTGATTAATTGATCATCTAGTTGGGGAATGAGTTATGAGGGCAATTAAATAAGTTTAGTAAAAATCTCTTCCCTAGCGACTTATCCTAAAAAAGAAAATTAGAAGGCTATTAATGGAGTATTGATCCCAAATATATTAGCCATTGGATGACCTTTAATTAGTAAACAAGACCTTCCGTGGGATTCTTTTGATCGCTTTTATGAATTTATATTGATCAAGGGAGGGACTAAATTTGTTATATTTAAACCTACCACTAAATTCCTAGAAAATAATCATATCCTCCATTGAAAACATAGTGTATAATACTTATTGACATGGAGAGAAAAAGACATCTAGAATCTTTGGTAGTGAAAGGTTTGTCATGTTCGAGAAGGGCCTAAGCTCGTTAATTGTAATGAATTGAGTGGTAGGTTATGGTGATAGTATGTGAATTAACCATTATTATAGTGACTAGGTGTTGGGGAGTTTAAATAGTAGTTTTCAATAGGGTATTTCATGACCTTTACAACTTCACAAGCCTATTGGCACAATCAAATCTCATTGGCTAAGGCTATGACCTAAGGGAGACATATTGGAGAGGGAATCAATTCTTTGTCAAACTATAGGTTGTCTCCAATGCTAATATTATTGATAAATTATCACCTCCATTAAGACCTATACAAGGGTTACCTTTATTTTGAGCGCCTATAGTTGAGAATATGGTGCTTAGGCCCTAGTAATGATGGTTACAATATGCTAATAATAATTATAGGAAACACTACACAAATTAGACTAAATAGTAATCACGAGAAGGAGTATTCTTTCTATATGAGTCCCTCATTAATTAATAGGGCCTAAGAACCCTATTCTTGGGTAACATTCCCCTATAATTACAACATTAATCCTGGCTTGATTTATAATTTGGTTATACCCAAGCCAAGATGAACACTCTATTCTTTAAAAGCATAGTAAAATGTTTGCTATTCAAGGGAGGGAGATAACCCTATATATATGACTAAGATAGGTTGACCTCTCTTCCCTAGCTATGGAGGAATAATCTTGGTTAATAGATTACCTACTAAAACATATAATTCTCGCCACTATTAGGTTAACAAAAAGAACCACTTAATGACTAATGTCAAAACCAACTATATACTAGTGCTTATGTATGGGTTTAGGATGATATAGACTAATATAGAAGCTAATTAAGGCATATAGAAAAAGTTTTAAATGAATATATAGAAAGAAAACCTTAGAACATTTACCCATGTCTATCATTTAAGATAATACATCTACGGTTATAGAAGAGTTGATTATTTCTGATTTGTATAGTTTAATATCAAGAGGATATATGGGGGTTTGGTCAAAAATATTTCTCCTACAGTAAATAATCACATAAAAGATATACAATAATTAGTCTCTTTAGGTTGAAATCACCAATTTAGGACTAAAGATGGGCTATACAAGGAGAATATAGTAATCGATCAAGGGGCTCACATTGTTAGACACCTCAAAACATAATTACCAATAGGTTTATGTTTACTAATGTGTATTTTTATATTATTATTTATAAATATACGTAGGAATAATTGTGACTATTATTGACATTGGCATTTCTACCTAAACTACCATAATAGTTCATTAATGGGAGATGATAAGTTATTTATAAACATGATTATAGCTTTATACCATAATGCAAAATTGGGAAACGCTTGATATAATAAGTGGGATTGCTTGTATCCCTTGGTTAACACCTCAACCATAATTACAATTAGTCATTAATGATAAGTTATTATGAATAGATGCCTAAATTTATTAATGGTTTGACATTAATGATTTACCCTAACATAGTACTTTTAGAGGATGTTGATATTAATAGTGATATTAATATCCTATTTGCTTAGAGTGTTACCCATTTGAAAAAAATCATACTTATAAGGAGAGAAGGGCCTATATGCCCATGTCTAGTTAGTAGGATCGACACCCATTCATTGTCAATACCCATTCATTATAATTATCCTCCAATATATAAGTGTGATATTGAGGGAGACCAGATATGGTATATATCATAAGAAAACTATCGATCCCACTTATTAGTCCTCATACATTTGGGGTACATATTTTTCAACATAATAATTAGTTTGGTCATCCAGTTCTAACTCCCATAAAAACCCTTATCCGTAACGCGACGTGTATTAGAATAATTCTATATATATGTATATTAAGAGGAAGTATAATTCTTATTTCATCATGAGAAATTAATGTTCGAAATATGTGATTTATGTTAAATTAAAGTTATTGTGCTTAAGATTAATGGCTTAATTATTAAAGAAATCAAATATGCAAAATCAATGTTTTAAGGACTATATTCTGCCTGAGTTTTGTGTGAATTATTTGAGTACTTTAGGGTGATTTTTGGGTAAACCTTAAAGAATGAAAGTTGTTCATCTATGTGTTGCATATAACTTTATAACATTTTATAATTTTTTGACCTATACATTAAGAGTTATATCCATTATGGTGAGGGTTGTTCCGAAATGCATTCTGCTGGAATTTCAGGAGAAGAATTTTCCCGAATCTTGTGAGATTTATTTAATGATATTAGATTGATTTTTGAGAAAAAATTAAAGAATAAAAGTTGGTTTTCTATATGTTTACTAGCTCTCTATAAAAGTTCATAATTTTTGGATATATATAGAAATATTTATGCAAGTTTTAGTATAGATGGGTTAGGAGGTAACACTTGCTGGAATTTTAGAGGGAAAAGAAATTCTGAATTTTAAAAATGGAAATTTCCGAATTTTTATGAAAAAAAGTAGTTTTAGTTACTTGAATCAAGTTAATTAATGATTTTAATTAGTCTAAATTTTATATAGACACCTAAGAAAATGCAATAAATGAATTTGATGCCAACTCACCCATTATGGATTCCAAAGCGACCGACTTTCCTCATGACTCACCCATAACTTTTACACCATATCCCATTAATTTCTAACACTTGTAGCTGAATGAAAGTAGGTATATATATATATATATATATATATATATATAGCAAGTGTTAAAATGGGAGAAAACTTTTAGCAACTCTGTAGGTACCAAAAATTGGAAGAGAAAAGGCAAGAAAGAAAAGAAAGTGAGAAAAACGTGAGGAGAGAAAGGAAAGGAAAGAAAAAGAGAAAGGGAAAAGGAAAAGGAAACGAGCTAAGGAAATTCTAATCAAATCTAAAAGAGGTAAGTAGGTTTCTTTTTTTTTTTGGCTGATTAATGTCTTAAATTATTTTTTTAAAAGTTATTTTGTTAGTGTTTATTTCATGGCTTGTAATAATTTTCAATTGTTATATGCTTGATGCTTGGGATAAATCTATGTATGGATGCCTTGTTGTGATGATTTATGGTGTTATGATTTTTTGAAAAATTTCCAAGTATGTGGTGATGGGTTGGATTGAACTTGGACTAAATTTAAGTGAACTAAAACATGTTTAAAGTTGGCTTGGAATGAACTAATAAATTAGTGTTGATAAGGAGTAAATTCTGTCCGAATTTTGGGGTGCATGTTCAAGGATTTTAGGTCGATTTTTGGGTGAAACTTAAAGAATAAAAGTTGTTCATATATGTTTCAAATAACTTCCTTTAAAATTTCTTGGTCATTGGATTCGTGTACAAAGAGGTATACCCAATTTAGTATGGATAGCTCTAGACAAACTACTACTTAGTAGATTGCTCCCTAAGTTTCAAAATTTGTAATTAATTGTGTACTTGGTATTTAGATCTAATTTTTGGATATGTTATAAATAAATATGTCTAGTATCTAAAATAAAATAGGTAAGATTTAATTATTTTCTAAAATTGGAAAATTATTTACTCGATTAGGAGTTGCCCGGTAATAAACCCTAAAACCAAAGAATTAGACTTGGACAAAATTAATGGGTTTGGAATAAACTAAATGGGCTTGGACTAAATAAAATAGAATTGAATAAAGTCAATGGACTTAGGATAAAGTTAATGGGCTTGGATTAAAGCAAATGGACTTAAATCTTCTTGTAAATATTAACGAAACTAATTAACAATATTAATGAGCGGAGGTTGGGTTCTTTCTATGAGTATCACGATTGGTATGTGAGCAACGGGTAAATTTTGAGTGTGGGTTGGACCATGAGTATGGCATGAGAATGAAGGGTTGGTACTCAAATTTGGTTGAATGTGATTAAATATGTCATCACGTGCATCATGTGCATAGTGGGTGATTTAAGACAAGTCAATTGATTGAGAAATGGTTTATACATCTAGGTTTGATAACCTAACTAGAATAAATGGGTATTAGTAGTCCGAGTACTCTAGGTCGTGTACCTACACTATTAGACGATGGATTTTCGCTAATAGTACCTACACTATTAGACGATGGATTTTCGCTAATAGTAGTTACAACTAGGGATAATTCCATTTTAGTAGAAGGTGATCCGCGGACCACTCGGATGATAAATAGAGTAGATCGGCTAATACCTACCTACACTATTAGACGATGGATTTTCGCTAATAGTAGTTACAACTAGGGATAATTCCGTTGTAGTAGAAGATGATCCGAGGATCATCTGGATGAAATCAAGTCTGTGTGTTTGCACTTTGTTAGACGATGGATTCCCACTAACGGTAGTTACAACGAGGGATAATTTCGTTTTAGTAGAAGGTGATCGCGGACCACTCGGATGATAAATAGAGTAGACCGGCTAATACCCGAGGTACCCGAGATTAAAATTTATGAGTATGGTGGGAAGTCAAAACAACATTGCATATCACATGCATCACCCCGCTTACGAGCTTCGGCTCACCTCGTTGTTATTTTTTTTATGTCTTGACGGAAAAAGGATAATTTGGTACGGATGCAGTGGCTGCTCCTAACCGGCTCATGTGAGGCACCATATATTAGTTTTTATTTTGTTTGTAAATTTGGGGTATGGAGTTCGTGAGAAATTGAATATTGCTCGTAATTTTTTATTAATGTATTTAATTATGTTATGTAAATTTTATCTTAAGGAGTTATATACATAATGTACTATTAAAGTTCTAAGAATATCATAAGAAAACTACTAAGAGTTTAGGGTATGTTAGCGTAACGCGCTTCGCCAGTACTCTACTTGGGTAGTAGAAATATGACTAGGGCGAGGGCGTTACGAGTTTAAATACCAATATCACTTGCCATATGGTGAACTATAGGATCCGACTATAATAATACCTTAAGTGGATACTGCATATTAGAGAATAGGAACTCCATTAGGGTTAAAATATCATAATTTGAGGTAATTATTAACTAGATGAAAAGTAAATTTTTATGGGGAATATTACCATATGGCATAGCCCAATAATCAAATCCATTTAGGAACTAATTTTCCTTAATGGTAAGCATATGTTGAGAGCCTATAATAATACCCTAAGGTTATTTGGCCTACTCCATATCATGTTAAATTACCCAAAAAAGATTTTGTATTAATATGTCCAAACGGGTAAGATCCTTAGGAGTTAATTTTATTGACGCACATATAACCATATTGTTCAAATTCCTAAATGGAATTCCCTAAGGTCATTATCAAATCTAGTGTTTTGAGAGAGTACACCTATAAACATCTTTTATGGGACTATGTAATTATATGCTTAAAGATATCCCGGATAACCCATATGGGATCACAATTAGTTGGAGCTTGTCTACTATAGGCTATAATTCAGCCTATAGTATATTGACAAAGGGTATATTAATCATCTAAACTAAATCTATTCTTTCTTTAATTAGGAGATTATCCCCTCAAATTGTTACCCTATTCAACATAATTGAGAGAATAGGTAATGAACTAGGACCCTCAAGGTTGCCATTCAATTATCATAAATGTAAAGATCTATTCCTATTGAAGTATTATCATATGCATTTGAAGGTCAAATGCTTGTCATTGTAATCTAGTTATTCATATAGTTCCCTATTATTATATGTTTTTATCGGGATAATAGTATACCATGTATTGTTATATTATGATGATCATTTTAATGTCCGTCAATTACTATGATATTTAGCTATTAAAAAATGGATATTCCATACCCTATTAATTAATCTTTGGGTATATTTCGATAGGTATATTATGGCCACTCTTATTTATAGAATTAGTATAATATACATTATAGGTATTTAAGTAATTGGGTTGATAGAAATAATGAACGATTAAATATATTAATACTAGTGAATATAGAGAGGGCCTTATAGTTGAACATTGATAATGTAAATAGAGGG